CTGTGTGCGCCCTCCCCAGGCACAGTTTCCAGCCCCCTCTCCCCTTTCAGGTGACTACTAAAACAAGTGACAAATGCATTTTTATTCCCCCCAATAGTAAATTTTATCCATGTTGGTGGAAAGTAGGAATCAGGTAAAACAGAATAACCTGTAGTGAAATAACTTTAGTTAGAAAACAGAATATCTAACCGGGGGCAAGAGGGGCAGCAAGTGCAGCACAGGGGCCTCCTGCATAATAGATGTTCAGTTAACATTTGTTGGTCGATTAATCCAGGAGTGCCTGTAATTAGTACAGAATTTTCTTGATGATGTACAATTCTGTCCCTAAGTTGTACTTTCCCAAATTCTCGGGCTCCTAATTTGCCATTAGGACTGGATAGTATGGGAAGTTAGAGTGTGAGGCATCTTACATGTTTACTGTCTCCTAGATCGCTGTCAGGTTATTAATTCAATCAGGCACATGTATTATTTGCTTTAAGATTGTAATCTTCTAAAAGCAGATTATAGTAGAATTGATAGAATAGAATAGATTTTTCAGTGATTTACTATAGGAATAGTCTGAAAATAAGCTGTAATTAACAGAAGCAGGTTTGGGCCAGAATTCAGAGGTTAGCATTGTTTCTTCCTAATGAAAGCCTCCAAGGATGGCTCATGGGCCTGTATTACAGTTTTAGGGTAAAAAACATCATAATGCCAAACTGAGTATTTACTTTCAGTCTGTTATCAAAAAACTTTGTATGAATAGTTGCTTTTCTCACCTGATTTTAAAAATTGAGGTGAGATATACGTAACAAAATTTACCATTTTTATCATTTTTAAGTGTACAATTCAATGGCCTTAATAGAAGTACATTCACGTTATTATGCAGCCCTCACCACTGTCCATCTCCAAAATTTTTTCATCATCCCAAACTGCAACTCTGTACCCATTCAATAATGACTCTCCTGTCTCCCCGCCCCCAGCCCCTCACAGCCACCATTTCTGCTGTCTCTATGAAGTTGGCTACTCTAAATACTTCATATAAGTGGAATCATACTTACATGTATTTGTCCTTCTGTGTCTGGCTTATTCCACTCAGCACAATGTCTTCAAGCTTCATCCATGTTGCAGCATGTGTCAGACAGAATTTCAGTTTTTTTAAGGCTGAATAATATTGTATGTTTTTCCACATTTTGTTTACTCATTCATCTGTCTGAGGACACTTGGGTTCCTTACACCTTTTGGCTATTGTGAATAGTGCTGCTTTGAACATGGATGTGCAAATATCTGTTCCGAGCCCTGCTTTCAGTTGAATAGTTGCTTTTTAATCTTTTTATACCAAACACCTTTACTAGTGTTGATTTGACAGTCAGCTTCCCTCAGAAACTAGTTAATCAGTTAGAGCCTTATTTTCTCATCCTCATGAGAAAATAAGACAGAAGGGAAGTATCCAACATCACCTATTTCTATTAACGGTAGCACTAAGATAGGCACCAGCCTTTCAGTAATTAGGAGACTATGATGGTAGTTTTTTTGTTGTTAGATTTTTGTGTCTGTTATCCATTTGAGAAATAATAAAGGAGCATGTCATTTTTCCTTAAATGATCTGCCTTATTTTGTCTAGCGTATATGGCACTCTGTAATTTTAAAAGTTTGATTAAAAACCATTAGCAGCGTATATAAAATGAAATACTTTTGTCTATGCTTTTACTATGGAAATTTATCCTACATACTTTATTTCAACAGTTATTTAAGGCTTATATTCTGGAGAGTTAGCATATGTCAGTGTTTTGTAACCTTTCTGGTTTTAGGGCCCCTTTGTAGTCTCAAAAATTATTGAAGTCCGAAAAGAGCTTTTGATTATGTGGGTGTTAGCTCTTGATATTTACCATATTAGAAATTAAAACTGAGAAATTAAAAAAAAATTACTAATTCATTTAAAAACAATAAACCTATAAATATTATAAATAATATATTTTTTATGAAAAATGACTATTTTCTGACTAAAAAAGTTACTGAGAAGAGTAGCATTATTTTACATTTTGGTAAAATATCTTTAATGTCTGACTTATTGAAACGATAGTTGAATTCCCATTATGCTTCTGCATTCAGTGTTACAATATGCTGTTTTTGTTGAAATGTCTGAAGAAAATCTGACCTCACACAGATACGTAGCTGGAAAAGGGAAGAGTATTTTAATAGTCTTTTCAGCTAATCATGAATATTTTTCTTTGATACTGTACTAAACTCAACAAATGGTAGTTTCTTAAAGGTTAGTAGCAATGTAGAATTTTAAATATATCAGTGACTTTTTTGTACTTCGTTATATTAAAATCCATTTGTCTTTCTTGCACCTTGAATGGCTCTGTCAAGCATAATTGGTATCATCATTCACTGGTCATTTGAAGAGTATTGCTTCAGCAAATTATGCGAATCTTCCGACTATTGACACACTATGAAATATACTGTCAGAAATTCACATTTATTAATATCAGCTTCTGTTGCTTGCAGAGTGTCTTTAAATCTTGGGGAGCTATCAAGCTCATAGTGATAGATGCTGGTTTTCCCACAATTCTAATTTTAACTTGAAAGCTCTACTTTTATTATCAGCAACAAATACCATCAGCTGTTTTCTTTAAAGTGACAGCTCACTTTGTTCACATTAGAGAGAAATGTCTGCCAAAGACCCAAGCCTAAATGACCATAATTTGTCATTCATTCTTTCCAGTAAACATGGCATTTCATGAAAAAGCAGTTTGCTCAGCCCATAACTTAAACTATAGCACAAGTGCTTTTTCTTAGGATTACCACTGTGGTGCTATAGTCAGCAGAAGTGCTATGTGTGTATTTACTGTTTGAAACACAGAATATTAAACAACCATGTCCTCAAGGGGTGAGATTTAATAAATTAATAATTTTTACTGCTGCACTAAGAACTTTTTTTATTTTTAATATTTATTTATTTACTTGGCTGTGCCGGGTCTTAGTTGCGGCGTGCGGGATCTTCAGTTGCGGCATGTAGGATCTAGTTCCCTGACCAGGGATCGAACCTGGGCCCCCCTGTTAAGACTCTGGGAGCGCAGAGTCTTAACTGCTGGATCACCAGAGAAGTCCCAAGAACATTCTTAAGTGAAGCTGGCATTTAAAAAACTCTGATGAGCACTGGTGCTGGCTGGTGCTGGGCCTTTATTTGTGTCACAGAGCTGGCTGATAGTTTGACCCACTGTTGCTGTCGCACCGTTGATAGAAATTGTCAATGCAGTGAAGAAGACAAATAATGTCTTAGTTTTATTTTGAAAATAATTTTGACGTTATAGACCCCTCTCCCTCCAGGACAGCGTGAGGGAACTGATGGTTCACATTGTCGTGTGTAATGTGGGTGCTTTAGTAAGCGTGGCTTATGCTCTTAAATAGTTTAAACCCTGTGTATATATTGCTGGGTCTTGAGAAGTCGCTTTTGCTTTTCCCCTCTGTGGTGCTGTCCCCAGGCCAGGGTAGAGACTAAGGGAGTATTATACAGTGACATTAGAATTTCAGGAGGAAGGACATGGCACAATTTGAATTTTATAGCATTTGTTTTCACTTTTTCCACTCGGGTACAAGTGCTTCCTGAGAGAATCTGTTTTGATTTTAGACCCATAGGAAGTATATGTCCTGTGACTCATCTGAATTAGGGTATCTCCAGGAAATTATCTGTAGCTGCTGCCTTGCCCCCGCCTGCATCCTCTTACAGACTTTTACTGAGTAACTTGTTTGTGCTAAGCTCCTTGCCAGGGACGAGAAGGGTAGGCTCCCAGCCTCTAGACGCAGCGAGAGGAAGACTGTTGCACGGGTTAGTACGGAGTCTCTGGGAAGCTTCATGGGAGAGGGGGTGTTCGGTGGGTGTTAGAGGGGGTGTGGGCTGGCTGGGCAAAGGAGCAGCAGGTGTGGAGACATGAAGGAGAGGGGGCGCTCAGTACTTGGGGACATGGTTCAGGGAGTGGCCAGAGGGCGACGGCTGCAGCACAGGCTGGACGTGGAGGCTGTGGCAGAAGAGGACAGGTTGAAATCACATCCTAAGGGGTCTTGCTGGGACTTGATCTCATAGGCCAGTGGTTCTCAAAGCTGGTCCCAGACCAGCAGTGTTAGCGTCTCTCAGGAGCTTGTTAGAAATGCAAATACCGAGGCCCAGCCCTTGACCTTCCGTGTCAGGTATTTGGGGGTGGGGGTGGGCTGTCCGTTTCAGCTAGCTCTCTGGGGTGGGGGTGGGGTGGGGGTGGGAGACTGCCTGGGCGGGGCGAGAACAGTCCAGGCTCTCGGGGCAGCCTTGAATTTTAGAAAGATCGCTCTGAGGGTCCTCTGGAAGGTGGGGTGGTGTGGGGAAGTTAGGGATCAAGTTGTCCAGTGTCTTTGCGGATGTGATGTGGGCCTGGACTGAAGGCAGCAGGAAGGAAGAGGGGGTGGGTTTGCTGGAGGTAGATTCTCTAGGACTGTATTCTGGTAGACGATGTAAAAGCCGAGAAGACAGCTGTGCCTTGCTGTGACCTGCCGGCAGTTAAAGGCCTTTGCTGCCTTGTGTCTTCAGGGATTATTTTTTACTGAAAGTGAAAACATCAATTCAGAGAACTTGCCTGAGGCTCTCCTGCCTCCTCTTTGAAGATGCCTGCCGAACTCAGGCTGATGACCTCTGGGTGGTAAAGGTGCACCTTCAGGGCTCACGGTCCTAGGAAGGACAGTCTTAGGTGTTATTTCATGCACTATGCACAGCTGCGGGCAAATTTAGTAAATGGTACCTGGCGCTCAGACGCCTCATGTTGCCTGTTGTCTGTAAGTTGGCGAGGAGCACCCTTTTACTATTCGAATTTTACCAGTCAGTTGCTCCATTTGATATATGTAAGTGTCCAGACGGGTCTCTGATTTCAGTTACAGTGATTATGATGTTATTATATGATATTCATATGTTCATGCAAAAAGGTGTATTAGAACCGTTATTCTTCAATATTTTAAAGTTCTTTTTTTTTATGTCCTATTTTGTTTTACAGATTTGTAAGACTCCAGGGCCTTCAAGCTGTGATTAATCCCATGGTTCCTGAAATGACTGGGAAAGCAGACGTTTTGTGTGCCAGTTGAAGAGTGTATGTCCATGTATATTTAAAACCTTCTTTCTGTGCACACACCTTTACACGAGAAGGCAGGCTCATTCTTGTGTGCACTTGAAGAGTTTTACAACTGATGAAAATTAATTTAAGAATCAGATGGAGCAACTTGACACCACTGGGCTTGGGAGCCCGGGGAGAAAAATACATCAGTAATGGCCAGTTTTCCATATGGTCTTCACGGGTGAAGAAGGTTTGCAAAAAGAAGAAAAAAAAACTTGCACAGATTAGGCCTCAAAAATACCTCTCCAGTTTAAAGAAGGAACTAAGTGAGAAGGTGACTGAGGGAGAAGTGTGATTTCAAGCATCGCAGAGGGGAGCATGCAGTGCTTTTTGCACTTTATTTTTCAGTGGGTCTGGTGATTTGGACAGAGGTGAAAATTCTGGACCGAAGAGTGGCTCTTACTGTGTGGTTATGACTGGAGGGAAGCCAGTTAGGGTATGATGGGACAAGTTTGAACAGTGAACTGATTCCTTTGCCTTTTTTCAGTTAACTGTATTCCAGAAATTTTAATTTATTACTTCCCTTTTCCTTTCCTATACCTATAGGATAATACCTTAAGGTAGCAGTTGAAACTGATAATTACAAACTAATTATCAAGGAGCATCCGAGTAAAGCTTCTTTCCCTGGACTGTGCACGTGGCATTTGGAGACGGTCTCTGGAGGTGATCAGGAAGGTGCCCGTCAGCCGAACATGGTCGCTTTGTAGGGAGACAGTGGGGAGGAAGCTGACTCTCACCTGTGTTTTCCGTTTTAAGGGATTCTCTTCCGTGTTGAGGCTAGGAATCTTTGTATATAAGAGGAAGGCTACTTGATGGACTTAATTCTGAGATTAGTTTTTTTCCTTCAAGATGGAAAAGTATGTAATCTTTACGAGTGGAAAGGGGAGAAGTGACTAGGGTAGGAAGGGAGGAGACACAGCCTGCAGCCCAGCTTGGCTCCCATTTGCCAGCAGGAGTATTTAGGATTCGCGGGGGGCCCACACTCAGACTCCCTCCCGTGAGAGCTTTAGAGCCTTCTGGCTCTGCTGAGGGAAGGGGCTTTCTCACCCGCCTCTATGGCACCGAGGGGTGCGTCGGCCTGCAGAGGGGCCCTCCCCGGGGACGCAGCCACCTGCTGGGAAGCCAGGTTGGCCTTCAAAGTTGGAGGTTTCTGGTTCTGAACAGTGGGGAAAGAGTCCTTTTTTCTCCTAAAATTTGGACTGCTGTCTGCACAAACTCTGGTCTGTTTTGCACGGTTTGTGTGCCTTTTTTTCCCTTTATGCAATCTTTTTCAGCTTTAGCAGCAGAGATTTGTCTAGTTGCGAAAACAAGCCAGAGGGTGGCTTCAGAAGGAAGATGATCCCCATGTATTCTGTCTCTGCATCTGAGCTTTTGAAGAGAAGATTCCAGCTCGAGGGATTCTCAAAGCCTTAAGTTACTTGAAATCTATGTATTTGCAGCCCTTTGTCTCTGGAATCACATTACACTAAACTGGAATCTCAGGCTGAATAAGAAGAACCAAGTTGAGTGAAAAGAAGAACACTCAGTTTCTTTATCACCACTTGTTAACAATGCTCTTTCTCCAAAGGGTCAGCCCCCTCTTCCTCTGAGGACTTGAACATAAAAATGGACCCCACGTTGTTTTTAAGCATTACCTTTTCTTAGCGGACTGCCGTCATCTTTTCTAGAGGAATTTTTTCACTATGCATTTGGTGGATCTTTATAAAATACTGACCTTCTAATTAGAACCGGGTCAGTCTTAAAAGGGGGTCAGGGAAAACAGCGCAAGCCAACCACAAAAATAACATCGATCTGTCAGTGGAAGCAATTTTTCAGCATTCAGCATTACTTTTTAAGTAAAACGGTTCTTCAAAAAAAAGTATGTATGCAGCGGTGGAGCATGGGCCTGTCCTGTGCAGTGACTCCAACATCCTCTGCCTGTCCTGGAAGGGCCGCGTCCCCAAGAGTGAGAAGGAGAAGCCCGTGTGCAGAAGGCGCTACTACGAGGAGGGCTGGCTGGCCACGGGTAACGGGCGCGGCGTTGTTGGCGTGACCTTCACCTCCAGCCACTGCCGCCGGGACAGGAACACTCCGCAGAGAATCAACTTCAACCTTCGGGGCCACAACAGCGAGGTGAGCGGGCTTCTGTTTCCCTTTTGGTCTGGTCACTAGCAGTGGATTTGAGCCCATCCTGCATGGATTCCAGTTTCTCAGACTTGCTGCTGAGGGAGACTTTTCAAACGTGAACCCTGTCTTGTGTGTGTGTCCCAGTCGGAGACACAGTTCCCGGCGGGCTGTGTCACCTCTCCAGCGTCCCTGGTCCTCCTCTCCCTGCGGTGGGTGGGCTGCCCCCTGGCAGGGACACCAGGGCGGCTTTCTGACCAGGTGTGAGGTTGGATGAGACGATCCTAACCTGCCTGTCATGCTCTGAGCCTTTATGGTCGCCTGTATCCATGGCAAAGAGTCACTGCCCCAGTGTCAGATGGGGAGTGCAGGCCATGGAAGTGGTGCTGGCTTGGCCGTGCACAGTTCACATCTGCATGCTTTGTGATGGTGTAACACCTAGCTTGTATTCTTGTAGTGGGAGGTAAACAAATGAATTAATTGGACAGAGGTGAAAGGAGTAATTGGACAAGAGTCATGGTTTTTCACATCTATGGGGTATATTCTGTTGAGGACATTATATATATATATGTATACATGCGTATAGATTCCTCTGGGCTTCTGAAACATAACCATGGTCATTATCTTTGAAATTCCTTCAACCAGCATTTAGTGAGCAGTGTGTTTACAAGAAGAGTTGTACTTGCATAGCGTGTTAACCATATTCATGCTTCACTGTTCACTAGTTTCTTATGAGGAATCCACCTTAAATTGTCACTAGATGGTTTTTGGTTAGTCGTTATAAAGGGGAAGAGTATTTTTGAAGGGTAGCATACAGTAAAGTGCATTAACCGTACGCATACGTACGTCTCAGTGATTATTTACATACGCAGTCACCCATGTAACCTTCCCCCAGATCAGGGTGTAGAACATTTCCAGGACCTCTCACAGGTACCTGCTGCCCCTTCCCAGGCCCTACAGCCCACTGAGAGGTGACCCAGACTCTGGCTGTGTCATCACAGATCAGTTGTGCCTGTGCTTGAACTTCATGTAAGTGGAATCATTCATTTTATTCTCTTTGTGTCTGGCTTCTTTCACTCAACATTGTGTCTGTGAGATTCATCCTTGTCGTGTGTGCTGTTAGTTTGTTCCTTTTAACTGATGTTAGTTTTCCACTGAAGGAGGACACCACAGTTTTTCCATTCCTCCATTCTTCAAATGGTGGGCATTTGGAATGCTTCCAGTTTCTTGCTGTCTTGGTGAAACCTGCTCGGAACATTCGTGTGCGTGCCTTCTTGTGGACCTGTGCACTCATGACAGGTTTCCAGGTTGCACAGTGGGCATGCATTTAGGTGTAACAGGAATTGCCAGGAACAGTTTTCCAAAGTGATTGTGCCGTTTGATACCCCTACCATGGATGTATGAAAAGTTTCAGTTGTGTAAGAAACTTCTTTTGGATTTGAACTTTTCATATTAAAAAAAGGTAGTTTCATGCAAGGAATTTTGGTTTACAGATTCTTCTGTCCTTACTACACACACACACACACACACCCCTGTAATTTTGAACTGGATGCTCTCTTAAAAGACATATTTTTCTTTTTCTTTTTAATAGATCTTTATTGGAGTATAATTGCTTCACGATACTGTGTTAGTTTCTGTTGCACAACAAAGCAAATCAGCCATAGGCATACACATGTCCCCATATCCCCTCCCTCTTGAGCTTCCCTCCCACCCTCCCTATCCCACCCCTCTAGGTCATCGCAAAGCACCGAGCTGATCTCCCTGTGCTATGCTGCTGTTTCCCACCAGCCAACTATTTTACATTCGGTAGCATATATATGTCGATGCTACTCTCACTTCACCCCAGCTTCCCCCACCCCCGCACCCCATGTCCCCAAGTCCATTTTCTATGTCTGCCTCTTTATTCCTGCCCTGCAACTAGGGTTCATCAGTACCATTTTTTTTTTAGATTCCATATATATACGTTAGAATACGGTATTTGTTTTTCTCTTTCTGACTTACTTCACTCTGTATGGCAGACTCTAGGTCCATCCACCTCACTACAAATAACTCAATTTCATTTCTTTTTATGGCTGAGTAATATTCCATTTTATGTATGTGCCACATCTTCTTTATCCATTCATCTGTCGATAGACACTTAGGTTGCTTCCATGTCCTGACTATTGGAAATACTGCTGCAGTGAACATTGTGGTACATGACTCTTTTTGAATTATGGTCTTCTCAGGGTATATGCCCACTAATGGGATTGCTGGGTCATATGGTAGTTCTGTTTTTAGTTTTTTAAGGAACCTCCATACTGTTCTCCATAGTGGCTGTATCAATTTACATTCCCACCAACAGTGCAAGAGGGTTCCCTTTTCTCCACACCCTCTCCAGCATTTATTGTTTCTAGCTTTTTTGATAGTGGCCATTCTGACCGGTGTGAGGTGATAAATACCTCATTGTAGTTTTGATTTGCATTTCTCTAATGACTAGTGATGTTGAGCATCTTTTCATGTGCCTCTTGGCCATCGGTATGTCTTCCGTGGTGAAATGTCTGTTTAGGTCTTCTGCCCATTTTTTAACTGGATTGTTTGTTTTTTTCGTATTGAGCTGCATGAGCCATTTGTATATTTTGGAGATTAATCCTTTGTCTGTTGTTTCATTTGCAAATCTTTTCTCCCATTCTGAGGGTTGTCTTTTTGTCTTGTTTATGGTTTCCTTTGCTGTGCAAAAGGTTTTGAGTTTAATTAAGTCCCATTTGTTTATTTTTGTTTTTATTTCCATTACTGTAGGAGATGGGCCAAAAAAGATCTTGCTGTGGTTTACATCAAAGAGTGTTTTTCCTATGTTTTCCTCTAAGAATTTTATAGTGTCTGGCCTTACATTTAAGTCTTTAATCCATTTGGAGTTTATTTTTGTGTATGGTGTTAGGGAGTGTTCTAATTTCATTCTTTTACATGTAGCTGTCCAGTTTTCCCAGCACCACTTATTGAAGAGGCTGTCCTTTCTGCATTGTCCCTTGTCGTAAATTAGGTGCCCATATGTGCATGGGTTTATCTCTGGGCATTCTATCCTATATTTCTCTTTTTGTGCCAGTACCATACTGTCTTGATTACTGTAGCTTTGTGGTACAGTTTGAAGTTGGGGAGGCTGATTCCTCCAACTCCGTTTTTCTTTCTCAAGATTGCTTTGGCTGTTCGGGGTCTTTTGTGTTTCCATCCGAATTGTAAAATTTTTTGTTCTAATTCTGTGAAGAATGCCATTGGTAGTTTAATAGGGATTGCATTCAATCTGTAGATTGCTTTGGGTAGTATAGTCATTTTCACAATATTGATTCTTCCAATCCAAGAACATGGTACATTTCTCCATCTGTTTATGTCATCTTTGATTTGTTTCATCAGTGTTTTATAGTTTTCTGAGTACAAGTCTTTCACCCCCTTAGGCAGGTTCATTCCTAGGTATTTTATTCTTTTTGTTGCAATGGTAAATGGGAGTGTTTCCTTAATTTGTCTTTCTGATTTTTAGTTGTTGGTGTATAGGAATGCCAGAGATTTCTGTGCATTAATTTTGTATTCTGCAACCTTACCAAATTCACTGATTAATTCTAGTAGTTTTCTGGTGGCATCTTTAGGATTTTCTATGTATATAATATCATGTCATCGGCAAATAGTGAAAGTTTTCCTTCTTCTTTTCCAGTTTGTATTCCTTTTATTTCTTTTTCTTCTCTGATTGCCATGGCTAGGACTTGCTAAACTATGTTGAATAATAGTGACGAGAGTGGACATCCTTGTCTTGTTCCTGATCTTAGTGGAAAAGCTTTTAGTTTTTCACCGTTGAGTATGATGCTTGTTGTGGGTTTGTCATACATGGCCTTTATTATGTTGAGGTAGGTTCCCTCTGTGCCCATTTTCTGGAGAGTTTTTTACCATAAATGGGTGTTGAATTTTGTCAGAAGCTTTTTCTGCCTCTATTGAGATGATCATATGGTTTTTATTCCTCAATTTGTTAGTGTGGTGTATCACATTGATTGATTTGCGAATATTGAAGAATCCTTGCATCCCTGGGATAAGAGAGATTTTTCTAATGCTGTGCAACAAATCACCATGGACTTAGTGGCTCACAACACCCACTTCTTATCTCACAGTTGTGTAGGTCTGAAGTCTGGGCTGGGTCCTCTGCCTGGGGTCTCATGGTGGCATCAGGGACTGTGAGCTCCTCTGAAGCTGGGGTACCCCTCAGACGCATTCAGGTTTTTGGCAGAAATCAGTTCCTTGCGGCTGTAGGACTGAGGCCCTCAGCTCCTAGAGGCCGCCCACCACTCCTGCCACATGGCCCTTTCCATAACGTGGCTGTTTGCATCTTGAAGGCCAGCAGGAGAGCATCTGCTGTAGCTTGGAGTCTGACTTTCCATCTCTGAAAAAGGGTACATCTGATTAGGTCAGACCCACCCACACTCCAGGTGAGGGAATCATATAGGGTGTGCACACCAGGGGCTGCTGTTTTAGAATTGTGCCTACCACAAAAGAGGTGATTATAATTCCTAGTGACATGGATATTTCACTACTGAAGCTATTTCATGTGATTTTTCCATTTCGTATTTTTACTTTTAATTTTTCTTTTAATTGAAGTATAGTTGATTTACAATATTGTGTTAGTTCCTGATGTACAGCAAAGTGATTCAGTTATATATACATACATACTTTTTCATATTTTTTTCCATTATGGTTTATTACACGATACTGTAATCGTTTCCTGTGCTAATTTCTATTCTTAACATTAGAATAGTTCCTATTTATTGAGTGCCTGCCAAGTAGGGTGACCAGCCATCCTGGTTTCCCAGCATGTGTGACTGTCAGTGCTAAAACTGGAAAATCACAGGCAAACTGGGATGTTTATTCATCCTACTGCCAAGGGCCAGACATAGTACCAGGTGCCTTGCAACCAAATTACTTCATGTGGTTTTCACAGTAGACTTAGGGATAGATATCACTTTCCTATTTTACAGGTCAGAAAGCTAAGGTTTATG